TCATGTATGTTTGCGCAGACAAATCGAAGCATTTGCTTATCCACGTTACCGAAATACCGTCACTTAGGCTAATGTACGCAGAAAGGCAGTTTAGTTTCCGTTGTGCATGAAGTCACAAAAAAGCCAAATGCACAATATTTAGATGTGTGTACATGACTCAATGGTAGGTCTATCCTTTGAATAGAGACAAGAATCAAGTTTCAGTGCATGTGAGCTTGGCTAAATGAATGTTATCTGCTTTGGAATGTTAAAGGCTCAGTCATTAGATACAACCATAATGTTCGAATTACTATTATATTTGTATCTCAAAGATGTAATCGTGCTATTTATCTCGAACTGCGCTCGAGATGCGAAGATGACATATAGTAGCACACATAGTGACATTGTGAGTATCGTTTCGTTACGATTTATGAATCGCAAGCAACTATGTATTTGAGATGTGATCGGAAACGTGTAATTTCTATACTGCAAATGCGTTATCTATAAGTTACCAACGCTATTATAAGTCGCAAAGCTTAAACATATTTACCGCAAATGTACGGTTTACATATCGCAAATAATTTCTTTACAATCTGTGCTCAAGTGTGTACATTGAAAATTGAACATTTCACAAATATTAATGTGCGTTTCATGAATTGCAGCGTCGTCTTTGGGCATACGGGCGCAGTTCTTGTTCAGTTTCCGTCTCTAAGTGAGGCCATCGCGATCGTCTCGACCAGTCTCTTTCAGCCGCAAAAAGTGATAAAAGAAAGCTGAGCGAGTTTCTTCTCATAAAAAGAATTCGTTTAATGGACACTGATACAAAATGTACTCTTCTTTCTAGTAGTTGCTGAGTTTCTTGTTGAGACGATCCGAGGACTTAAAGCTGCATATAGGTAAAGTCTGTTTACGAGCCTAGTGGCCCATTAGGCCGGTACTTAACTCCGGTTTCTGTAGCATGAAGCGTCTAGGAGTATTTCTACTCCTCCCTGGATGGGATGCCAGTCGATCGCAGGGTTACCACCAACATTAAATTGCCGGTACCCATTTATACACCTGGGTGAACAGAGGCACTGTGAGAGTAAAGTGTCTTGCCTAAGAACACAACACAATGTGCCGGCCGGGGCTCGAACCCGGACCACTCGATTCGGAGTCGAGAAAGCTGCATAAACGGCTGGCTTAGTTTTCCTTGCCATGGATCAGTCTCTTTCGGCCGTTATTAATATCTCTTCATTCCTTAGAGCTTTTCTCGAGTCTCCCGCCAAAACGAAGCGTGTGAATATATATTTTAGAGATGACGTTGCCATTTGGGACATGATAGATATTTGATTTACACACTTGGGTGCAAAGTGTTCAGAAATTATTTGCTCTATGTTAATCACACATTCATGATTTAGAAGTTTGACATTTGCGATTTATAATTGCGTTGGTAATTTAAAGAAAATACATTTGCAATGCATAAATCACACGTTTGCGAGCACATCTCAAATGTGTAAAATGAAAAAGTTTTAGTCGCTTGCGATTTATAGATCGTAATGAAACGTCATCTATAAAACCCAAAGTCAATATATTTGCAATGCATAAAATGCATGATTGACTCAGAGATATAAGAATCGCAATAAATGTCACGTGACCGTTGACGTCATGTCATCTAGGTCAATATCTCGCTCTTGTTTATTTTTACTGTGATCGTTGCAAACATTTTTAAGTTTCCTAAACTTGGTTCAAGATTGCTCATTTCATTTTAAGTTGCAAATGGTCGTGTTGCAACTTGGATTTGCACTTAACAAATATGTTATCGATTTAGGAAAGGCCAAAGTGTTTTTTGTAGTAACCTTGAAAACCCAAAAAATTCTACTTAATAAAAATAAGTAAAATAACAATGGCAAAATATAAGTATACATATAGGCTTCGCATGACTTATGTTCTCTAAATTCCTTTACAATTTGGAGTTCTCCCGCCTCGATTTTTCACAGAAACATAAGAGGTCAAGTATATTAAATGGCATAATCCGACTCTACACCAACCCATACATATATATCTTCTTGTATCATTTTACCTCCGGTTCGTTAGAAAAACAAGTTGATTGTTCATCTATATGGTGCTTGCATGCTGTCAAAACCAACAGCGGATCAGTCCTGGGTTTGAAGCCANCCTCCTCGCTTGGTCATCTCTTTGACGCTTGTTGTGTAATCGGCATCTGGCGCTATCTCTTCCCTTCTATCCCGGGGCTCACCTGGACCAGGTGGGATGGGAGTTTGGCGTCACGTATCGATCTGTTTGGGGTATCATTTGCGTGGGTCCCATCAGTGTCCTCCTGTTCAATCTGCCGTTGTCCGTTTTAGGACCATCGTGGTCTGTTGCTGTCTGTGTCTGTTCCTGATGTCGTCCCACCTGGTCCAGGTTACTGGAGGCTAAACACATCGATACTGAATGATCCGGAATACTGCTAGCTTGTTAGGGAGGAGTGGAGCGCGTGGCGTCTTGCCGTCCCCCGCTTTCCTTCTCTCGCCACATGGTGGGATCGTGGGAAAATCCGGGCTAAGGGGCTCACCATTCGGTATTGTGGGAATAAGGCCCGCGTGACATCGTCATCAAGAGAGGCCCTAGTGCGCCTTGTCCAGCACCCTCAGGATAAAGTGGAAGGTGGGGTGACCTCCTGTGTAGGCCCATTGCAGTCGGCTCTGTCGGAGCTGGCTTGTTTGGACTCTCGTGCTGCAAGGGGGGCCCAAGTGCGGGCGAGGGTGAAATGGGTAGAAGATGGTGAGTCTTCCTCGCAGTTTTTTTTTCGCCTTGAGAAAAAACGTTCCGCTGATCGTCGCATCTCTGCGCTGAGAGAGCCTGAGGGCTCGATTGTCTCGTCTTCTGCTGCTCTTTGTGCTTCTCTTGGCTCCTTCCATTCCGGTCTTTATACCTCCTCACCTACGGACCACCGGGTCTAATCCTCCCTTCTTGGTAATCTGTCTTCTCCTCTCCCTCCGGATCATGCCGATAGTTGCGAGGGCCCTCTCACACCTTCGGAGGTCCCCGACGCGCTTAAGGGTTTGCGCAGAACAAGGCGCCAGGTTTAGATGGGCTCCCAATGGAGTTTTATCTCCGCGTCTGGGACGTGGTCGGTGCTGATCTCATGTCTGTACCCAGTGACTGCTCTTCTTCGGGTTCTCTTTCCCTCTCTCAGCGCAGAGGTGTGATTACTCTGTCTTTTAAGAAGGGGGATCGCCTCGATCGCAGGAACTGGTGGCCCATATCGCTACTCAATGTAGACTACAAATTAGCATCGCGTGCCATGGCCGGGCATCTCCTCCGGGTGATACATCTGGTGGTCAGCGGTGATCAGACGTGCGGGATCCCTGGCCGTTTTATTGGGGATAATGTCACATTACTTAGAGATGTGGTTAGTTATGCTGAGTCTTCTGGCACCCCTGTCGCGATTTTATCTCTCCACCACGAAAAGGCTCTCGACCGGGTGGACTGGCGCTTTATGCGGTCCTTACTGGTCGCCATTGGCTTTGGTCCTTCGTACGTCTCGTGGGTGGACTTATTCTACAGCCATGTACAAAGTGCCGTCAATGGGAACGGTCACTTGACGCCTTTCTTTGGTCTTTCACGGGGTGTCCGGCAAGGGTGTCCTTTATCCCCACTCCTATACGTATTGGTATCGGAGGTCCTGGCCTGTAGTATCCGTGCAGACCCTCGTATCAAGGAAATGTCTATCCGGGTGTCCTCCACTATATCCCATCTCACAGTACACAGATGATACATCGCTGGTCCTCACCTAAGACGCTTGTCACGATTCTGTGAACTCAAAAGGGTTGTTTATTGTGCGAACTCGACTGCCGCCACGTGTGTTGTCGTTGTCTCCTAAGTGTTCTAAATATATAGATGTTTTTCGGCCCAGTGGCGTGACCGTGTAACGCAATATCACGACATCTTCCCCTTTTTACAAAGTTTACCTTCAAAAGTTAATTAATACTTAATGTTCGGTTTCGATCACTGTTCAAATCACATAAAATCGATAAAACATTGTTCTTCATTGAAATCATAAAAAGATAGAAACAGAACCCAACAACTATTTAGCGGCTCAATCATTCAATGTTCAGTTCATATGGTAATCCTGATGCCACAAAGGCGGTCGACGTCTGCGTTCTGATCGACGAGTTTCAATCCTTTGTGGCTCAAGCTCAGTTCCCATTTCATTTTCAGGTGGCATTCTCTCTGTTTTGGTCTCGCCATGGAACTCCGGTGGAGGAGGTCCTGGCTCTGTCAGATTTGGCGCCGGTTTGAGGGTAGACTCGGGCGGAGTTAGTTCTACCAGACTCATAGGTGGTGCTGTTTCCGGGGTCAGGCGCAGTTGCCGACGGTTGCGTCGGTATCGCCTGCCGCAAACTTCAACTTCATAAGACCTGTTCCCCAAGGCTTTCATGCAGGTCCCCAGACTCCATTCCTCCCTTCCGGGAAGCCGCATCCTGATGGCCTGTCCACACTTTAGTGCCTCTAAAGGGCGAAACTTTTTGTTGTATTGTTGAGCTTGTCTTTTCTTGCGCTCAGCTAATTTGGTGGCTGTTTCCTGGTGTGATGGCTGCCGCAGGAGCGTTTCATGGGTTGGTAAGAAAGTGCGTGTGCGGCGTCCCATCAGTCTCTGTACGGGTGATGTTCCTAGACCCTCTGTTGGGGTGTTGCGCCAATCAAGAAGGGCTAACAGCGGGTCTTGCCCATCCGCTTTCGCTTTCGTCATCAAGTTCTTGCAGGTCTTCACGGCATTCTCGGCGCGGCCATTTGACTGGGGGTAACGGGGGCTCGAAGTTCTATGTTCAAACTGCCATTCTCTCACGAATGCACTGAACACCGATGACGTAAACTGAGGTCCGTTGTCGGTAATAAGCACGTCTGGTATCCCATGGCGGGCGAATTGTACTTTACACGCAGCTATCACGCTAGCAGATGTGGCCACCTTAACCTCCTGGACTTCAAAGAACCCACTCCAGTAGTCGACTAGGACAAAGAAATGTTGTTGCCCAAGGTNAACAAGAATTCACTCCACATTTGCGTAAAGGATGTTGTCGTAAAGTTGCATGTTGATGAGCCTCTGCGACAAAAAAGAGAAAGAGAAAATCGATGTATATAATATTAAATTACTTCTATATCAACGGATGACCAAGCCTTGCATAATTTTAATTCAAAATATTTCACCTGATGTTGATTTTCCATTTCCTTCAAATCATTCCTAAGACTCTCAAACACTGGGCGATCGTCAGGATTCTCTTGCCAGCAGTCTTGCATTGTCTTGTAACTAGATGAATTAAACACTTGGATTTAGTTTTACGAATTTTAAAAGTTCTTTACAAATATTGTACACAATTAAATGAGCTCCAAATTTAAAACCACTACCCTTAAGAAGTTGAAGATAGCAGAGATCATTTAATAGATAGTACATTTTACGTCTGGAATACCATTTCCAAAATTGGAACATCATATGATCAAGTTCACTAACAAATGAATAAATGTATGGATACATGTCCTTACAGGGTATCGTCCACGTGCCGTGGCTTAGGCATCCTGTAGCCCTGAGAAAGTAAATGTGCAATTTTTCGTCCGTCTATCTTTGGATACGGAGAGCCACCTAGAACGAGAGGTTGAACATGTAGACAGTGACTCAATCAAAAAGCGCGTAATCCATACAATATACACTGACTGAAACACAATTATCTGACATACCTATCGTAAAGATTTCGTAAAGCACAATACCAAAACTCCATCTGAGTAAAGAAACAAAGATAAGGCTTCATTTCAAGTTCGCACATAAAAGTAAAATTATATCATAGTCTCAAGATATCTAGATCTGAAAGATCTTTTTTTTATTATATTCAGAACTATTCAATAACTTATTAGATCCACTTACACATCACTTTTCGTCGTATATCGTCCGTATAGCAGCGCTTCGCTAGCTGTCCATTTCACTGGCAGTCTCCCCTTTGGGAAAACGTTTAAAAAATGTTGAAGAGAATAAGCAAAAATTATTTGGGAAATTTTCTTCATTATGTTTTGTACCTTTGTTCTTGCGCACTCTTTGGTGATGATGTTGTACAAAACATAATTCTAAGCAAAGTGACAAAAGAATGAGATAGCATTTATCAATACTAATGTATGATGGTATTAGCCAGACTATCGAGGCAATAAAATCAGAAACCTTTGACTTCCTTTCGTAGATGTTTTCCTGGCACACGTCTCTAGCCATTCCAAAATCGGTTACCTTACATCGTTCTCGCTCTCCAACCAGGACGTTGCGGGCTGCAAGGTCGCGGTGAATAATCTGTTCAGAAAAATACCAAGCATCGATCATTACTTGAAATGGTTTCACTAAATGTGTTGTTTTTTCTCGTCTAACCAATGATTAGAATGATTTCAATTCATAATGACCAGGGGCTGTTTTACGATACGAGACTTGATACCTTCCGAGTTGAGTCCAAAACAAAGAAAACTTTGTACTTAAAAATTAACCTTAAAAAGGTTATTCTTTCATCAAGAGATAAATATCTTGTACGATCAGAAGCCATGAACATAGAAACATAGAACATTATGGAGCTTACTTGCAAATTGTCTGTGTTTTTCGTATAATAACTAATTTTGCGTTGGTCAACAGCGCTTGAAACATTGCTGTTTGCAGCGAAACAAAAGTGCTTGATGCCATGGACGCTTTTGATCATTTCAAACAAAAAAGCTCTATTATCGCCGTAACCAAACCACACTTTAAGATTCCCTAAAGTATTTAAAAATTCAAACTTAAGTCACTTACATCCAAGTATAATTTATTTATTGTAAACACGTCTACGAAAATTGAAATGAATAAAGTATCCCTAACATTGATTGCCACGGAGTCGGAAAAATTATTTTAATACAAAATAACCGACTTACGTTTTTTGAGGATAGATAATGCATACCATCAGCTACTTGCCAGGAAAATTTCATCAGCTGCTGGGAAGCCAAACTCGTTTTTGGCTTTATATCTGGGTCATTGAAATAGTTATCTTCTAAATACCGGCTCTTTCTCAAATAGCCCCGGAGATCTCCATATGGGACATACTCGATTAGGACAAGCAAAGGATCTAAAAAAATTTGTACGAAAAACACAGCACTTGGTCTTCATAATCACTTAACAGAGGTAATTGCAGCGATGGAAAAACGAAAAACTTGTGCAGGGGTATTTAAGGTTCAAACCAGGGTTTGTTTTAAACCGAAGAAATACACTAAAATCAAGTTGAAGGGAGCTCGTAGCGAAAAATTCATTATTTACTTGGTTCACATGGTACAAACGCCCTTCGTCAATGCTGTGGCATCAACGATGACGGAATTAGGTGCAGCGAGAGAGTAGTAAAGTATCAAACATGTCAGTTTAAGTAAGTTTGAACATTTAGTTGTCGGGGTTGTAACGTTGTCGGAAATGCCGGGTGAACTCAACTAAGACAGCGAGGAACAAACACTCGATACGTGAAGACAACTTTAATAGAATAAAAACTGAACACGCTTGCATCCGGGCTATACATATTTCGGCTAACAACACTTGATGTAAAGCAAACGAAATATCGTCACATCCCCCTGGCAAAAAATAAATAAATAAATAAAGAAAAGGATGAAATATGGACCAGATTCAGAAACAGTTTCAAACTCCTATTCAATGTTCTTGACTCCTATCACTGTTCAAGACTCATATCTGACTGGTTTCCTAATCACTCTGCCACTTCTAGTGGTGGTAGCCGAGACAGCTGGCTCACTGGTACAAACTCCAGAAGCAGGGACTGAAAGTATGCCACCGGATCTAGCTGATCGAACACTGAGTGGCTCCGGCTGGATGACTGAAGAACTGGTTGCTGCTTCGGAAACGGGTTTCCTGTTTGGTGCCCCCGAGGCGAGCTCCCTAGTTGATACTTTGGAAGCAGGCTTTCTGGTTGTTGCTTCGGAAACGGAAACATTGCCACTGGGAACTACCCTTTTTGTGCTGTAACTGTGACAGGTTGGTTGAAAACTCCACAAATGGCGTTGTTAGGAAAGGCTCACTGTGTGCCTGAGATGTCTCTGATTCCTCCTGTATGTACGGCCATCCTCTGTTCGAGTTTGATATGATCTAATGTCAACTTCCTTATCAACAGTGGCCTTAGTCCACTCCCTCGAATCAGGTCTCAGCTTCACACGTGCTACATGTCCAGGTTTCAATCTGTCGAACTCTTTGGCAACTCTGTCATGGTGGTAAGTCTGTTTGACTTTCCTTTCCTTTAGCTTGTTAGGAACACTATGTACCGCTTCTGGAACAAGTAGTCTTGTAGACGTTGGGACCAAAGTTTCAGTTCTCCGACCAAACAATTGCTGAGCAGGAGAGCTTTCAATTCCCTCAGTTAGAGTACTTCTCTAATCCAATAAAGACAAATTTGGATCTGCTTCTGCAAGTCGG